GAAAGAGTGTCGCCCAGGGCCATGAACCCCCGGAAAGATTAAAAACAGACACTTTCCCACTCCAAAATCATAAAAATATGGATGTTAAAAGGGACATGTGATTTGGACATTCCTGATCTCAATGAAATACACCTCTTATGTTTTTAATTTTCAAATTAAAATGTTATTATTATTTGTTTTTGCACAGTCAAAAATCTGCTACAAGTGTCCTGAAAGCATAATGAATAAAAAAAGCCTTAATAAACGGATGAAATTCTTGAAAAGAAAATGTTTTAGTTTGGCATAACCCTTTATTTCTTATGACAAAATAATATTATGATGCTTTACTGCTTAATAGTATTTGAAAAACTTTTTGCCTCATGTGGTACAATCACCATACAGAAACATGCTGGAAAAATATATAATAAAAATAATAACTTTCAAAAAATAAAAAACAAAGATGTGTATTTTTATGTGACATTTTTAGTTGTTAACCCATTAATTACAAATGCACATTTTTGTCACATGATGCAGAGTTTTATCTGTTTATGGTTGCCAAGCAGTGTCTCTTGCGGCAGATAATTATGCATCATTACCAGAAAATATTGGTTGTACTGTTTCCCACTAATGAGTATGCTTTTGTTGAGAAGTCAGTCCACATTTTTAACAGTTATTTGATGTCCTCCATGCTGATTCGGTGTTCACAACTTAAAGCCTCTCCCATGAAGCCTGGCGGATCTCATTCCCTTTACGCATGGTTTAGAAAATGAAAGTGCACAACCCATCTTGTGTGTTCAATCCAGTTGGTATAATTGTTCATGACAGTGTCCCTTCATTCCCTTGTTTTAATTAGCTTCTATCCATCAACAGGCTAACGAGATGCCCAAACTGACGGAGCAGCTGGCCGGACCGCTTCGACAGATGCAGGTACTGTGTTTGAGAGAGACGTTTTTGTCAGCCTCCCTGAAATTCTTCACATTACAGGCTTACTATTTACCAAATAACACTTAGACTCCCGCCACTGTTTGCGTTCATGGATTAATCGGATAGGTCAGTCTGATCCTCCAAAGACGTGGTTTGGAACAGTTTGACTGTTTTTACTATGTGTGAAGTGTTTGTGTGTGGGCACATGTAGGTCAGTTTGATGGCCTCATTTCACAGCTTCAGTTGCTGTGACGGTAAACTGTTCACGGTTGTTTAAACCGCTACTAAACAAGCATAAAACTAAGCAGAAATAGTCCACTTAAAAAATAAAATTGTCACTTACTGAGCCTGTGGAGCACAAAAGAAGAAGTTTTGCAGAATGTCCCAGCTGCTCTTTTCCTAATCTTGTTCCCCATAATAAGTCTTCTGAAGCGGTGTGTTTTCTGAAAAACGTCACCTCCATCATAAGCTCTCTAAGCATCTAGACTCTTGCCTTTACTGATCCCGTATCATCATGAATGACTCGCGTTCTGCTGTGGTTGTAGGAATGTGCCAAGCGTATTGCTAAGGTGTCCGCAGAGGCCAAGCTGGAAGTGGATGAGGACACTTACCTGAACCAGTTCCGCCCGCACCTGATGGATGTGGTCTACACCTGGGCCAACGGCTCCTCATTCTCTCAGATATGCAAAATGACAGATGTGTTTGAAGGTACTAGTTTACTCGTAACAAATATATCTCGCAACAAATTTATCTATCAAATATTTACAATATTTTTGTGATTTAATTGAAGTGTGTGCACACCGAAAGCAAATTTAATTATTTGCGCGAGTAGATTGCATACAAAGTCAATGTAAAGACATGAATAGATGCGAATTCGTGCCAAGCAATGCAAATTATGTGAATTGGGCGACGCGATTGCTACGAACGTGCAATATATGCCTCAAACGCGTCTTCCGCACAAGTTGAAAAATGTCAACTTCAGCGGACAATTCACGTGACGCGTTGCAAAAACGAATCAGCGAAGAGCTTATTGACACGTCCAGTTTGACACATCCAGTTTGACATGTCCGGCTGTATCAGAAAATGGAGTGCATTATGCAATGGTTTTATTCACGCAAATGACATGAAAAACATCTGCGAGTAATCTAGAGCGATAACGTGATGCGAATATTCATTCACTTTTGGTGTACATACACCGTTAGACCATTGGTTTCATTGAATCACTTCTCATGAGTGTTCACAACTCTTCACTTTATCTACAATGTTGTTGTAGATAAAACTGTAAAAAACTAAATTAAAATTGTTTATTTTTTTTAATCATTTAGTCAAAAGTGTGCCTATGCATGTAACTTTTTTTTGCTTTGTTTATTTATTCAACATTTTAAAGATTTTGAATCTGCAATCTAATAGTGCCTATTTGGTCCATGTTATGGCTCCTCTGATTGGGGAGGAAAAAAATCACCTTTAATGCACTTGCTTACACGATAGATGGATAGGCAGATGGATGATTGCTAGATTTTTTTCCCCGTATCGCCCAGCCCTAAATCCCAGCAATAGCTTATACTTAATTCTACTATAAAAAAATACTATTTTCATATCATTCCTGTTTCCCAGAAATGAGCAAACGTAATTAGTTTGTGAAACTATTAGGAATCAGTGATGCTGTATTTGGTCCTGACTTCATAAGTGCAGCATGGGGCCTGTTGTGATATAAAAGGATTTAAAATGTATTTTCAGCACATCTTCTCCCAGAAGCCTCTGCTCTGAGATTTGGCCATGTCTGAAGCATGACGTGAGTTTTGAAACGCAGATCTCATGTCTTGTCAAGAAAATCCCCCATCTGTCCGTGCTCCAGCTCCTGAGTGAGATTTTGGCTGCGTTCATGTGCATTAGCAAACAGCAAAACACTTGTAGTGATAAATTGTGCAGTGAGGGAGAGATGTTTATGAAAAATGGAGAAGTTCCATTATTCTCTTTCTCTCATGCCCTTTCAACTCAAACTGAATTGGGCTGCGTTTCCCAAAAGCATCGTAAGCCTAAGTTGATCGTAGCTCCATTGGTTTCAGTGGGTTTACAATGTATTTATGCTAATGTTTTTGTGAAACGCAGCCCTGCTCTCAATAGAGATCTTAGAACATCATGCCAGCAAAATCCCTTGTGCCAAGAAAAGTTTCATAGAAATAAACATTGCTAATACAACTGGACATTGCAACTACGGGTTACAAGCACTGAAAATGACCATATGTGGTTGGTATGTAGTAAGTGCGAGGAGGACTAACTCTCTCTCTCTCTTTCTCAGGCAGTATTATCCGCTGTATGCGCAGATTGGAGGAGCTCTTGAGGCAGATGTGCCAGGCAGCCAAGGCCATTGGAAACACGGAGCTGGAGAATAAGTTTGCCACTGGTAAGACATGATCTAGACTCGTAGTGTGACTCATTGAGCTAAATAGAGCCACGTGCACAGAGTATCCAGTTTATTGTGGGCAGCTTTGAGCACTTGACTGGTAAACAGTCTTGGAAAGATTTAATTATTGATCAATTCTGAGAACCTGTGGACGTGAGATACAAGATAAACTAATCCACAATCCAAGATCATCTCAATATTGCTGTTCAGTATTTTCACTCGTTATTTAATTTACAAGTTTTTTTTTTGTTTTTTTTTTTTTTACATTTCGTGAGCTGTCTTCTAAGGTCAATAAGAAGTTAACGGAAGTATGCAATCTTGAGCATGCTGAACATTGGCTGTAACAGACCTCCATTCTCAAGGGGGCGCTAGAGTTCCCTTTAAATGTCTGTTTCATTAAACCAGATGTGGTGTTGTTTAGATAGCTAGCAATAAACATGCAATTCAGCTAAATTGCTCATTATTGCCATTTTAAAGGGAAAAACATTTTGCGCTTGACTCGTTCCATCATATACTTGCTACATTTTTATTTGTCGTCTGATAGTTTTTATAATGAAACCAGGCATGAAACGAAGCTTGTGTATCTAGAAGCATATGCATTCATGCGTTTCCACCGTACGCATCCTGCAAGAAAGCTCTTTAGCATGTTAAGCTAATAACATGGCGTTTTAATAAGCATAAAAATGTTAATCAAAATTGATTCCAATAGGTATTGTTGTTGGCGTGCTGCTAATCTGCACAGTATTCGATTAGTTAACAAACACATCAAAATCAAATCTAATATAGATGGATGTTAACATTTTGCTAAGCTACTTATACAGTATTTGATTAGCTTACAAACACTTGGGTCAAAATGGATTCCAGTAGAGTTTAATGTTAGCATGTTGCCAAGCTAATTGTACAGCATTCAATGTTAAATTCTTTGGTCAAAATTGGTTCCAATAAAGTTGGATGTTAGCATGCTGATACAGGGTTTCCGCAGGGTCTTAAAAAGTCTTAAATTGTACAAGAAAGTCTTAATTATGATTTCAAGAGGTCTTACATTTGGGGACGGAAAGACCAGAATTGCGATATGGCTCAATGTGACGATTAAACTTCAAAAGGCTATGAAACATGAGCGCTGCACGTTCAAAATCCGGTGCTGCGCTGCTCTGTGTTCAGCCGTTACCGGGGAAACAGTGATATTTCTACCAAACGCTCCACCTGCTGTCAGAGAATGAATGAGCATTTTCAATAAAACTGTTGTTTTGTTCAGAGTTCAGACCAATGCGAAAATCGACCCATGTTTTTACCCTGCAAACACACAGAGCTTTAAATGTGAACTGGTGGATCGATAAGAAGACGCATTATAAAAATCTAAACATAGGGGTGTGCGATATGTATGGTCTGCCATAATATCGTAATTGTTGTTTTAACGATGTGCGATTTGATATTATGAGTATATCGCGAAAAGCAAACACAAAACACACCTACAGAGTGCACGTATTAGGTGATGAAGTCTAGCAGGTTGTGCGCGTGTGCATTTAGAGTGCTTTGTGTGATTTGTATTTCCTGTTTTTGCTCTATTTCTCCAACAAAAATCTAAATATTTTCAAAATATATACTGTATATGTGTGTATTTATATATACATAATAAATATACACATTACGTAAACAAACTTTTATTTTGGATGCGATTAATCGCGATTAATCATTTGACAGCACTACTAACAAATGGATAGGAAATTTAATCTAATGCAGTTGGATGTTAGCATGTTACTAATTATACAATGTTAGATTAGCTAACAAATACATGGATCAAATTATTCCAATAGAGTTGGATGTTCACGTATTGCTAAGCTAATTACGCAGTAATTGATTAGCTAACAAATGCATACGTCAAAATCGATTCTAATAGAGTTGGAAGCTAACATGTTGCAAAAGTAAAAAAAAAATATATATATATAGTCCATTTTAATTAAATTGCAGTATTGTTTATCAATACTGTCCAGTGTAGAATGAAAAGTACATTTGTAGTCATCTACCGTTGACTTTGTTGCGGTGCATTATGGTATTGTTTGTAAAAGATATGTGCAACACACAATGTGTGTTAGTGTCTGAAATAACCCCTATATATTTTAGTCACTTGTGTCTGAAACCATAATGGACATTATCAAGTGCACTCATTCAATCTCATAATGCACAGCAATCGATGTACATGGAAAACGGCTAGCCACTACAGAATAACTATGCACTGTGTCGGAGTCTGACTTCACGCGCTCGTTTTCATTCAGCAGACTATTATTGGAGTGATACAGGGAACAGTGATTGAGGGAATAAGCTGATTTCACATACAGCCACTGCCTTATACAAAGGCCTAAGTAAGATATCATAACTTATGGAACAGCCTTTGTGTTGGTGTAGCATGTCTATGATGCCTTAAAATGCTGTCTAGCTAGGCAGCACGCTAGATTTTGGAACACAGCTTTGTTTTAAACCACACTTTGACACTGCTTTTCACATTTTTTTCTACTTCTGTCAGAGTTTTGAGGGTGACTGGGTTTTGTTTTGAAACTCAAACACATTTTCTTGTTTTTCACAGGTATAACGAAGATTAAGAGGGATATCGTGTTTGCTGCCAGTCTTTACCTGTGAATCCTGAGGGTTATGTTTTTCTGTGTTTGCTACTTTTTTTTCTACTTTTTTTTTTTTCATTTTGCATCAAAACAGTGAAGGACAGAATTTACATGAAACATAATCGTTTTATTTGTGTTTGTCAACGAGCATAATGGGTTTTTGTTTCCATAATAAAAGCGCAACATATTGTACATAATTTTAACAATTTTAATTAAAAAAAAAAAGACTGTATAGTGATTCTTGTTTTCATACAGATAAAAAAAGGTTTTTCTTTTGTGGCTTAATAGAGGTACACACATTAGTTTTTGGAGATACAGAGGAAGCTGTGGTAGCAGCAGAAGCAGTCCAGCCAAGGCAACGTGGGACAGAGTCCATAGAGAAATCCCCAGAAAGGGGCGTCTGGAGAACATAGAAAGCATGGTTACATTCACAGGTTTCCACCCTAGTGGTCTGCCCTCATAGTGGGTGCACGCTGAAACCCCTTCCCATCCACAGAGGCTCATCATAGCTTAGTTTGGGTTTTCATAATGATTTCCATTCGTAGGTGTCTCTTGTAAGGTGGTGTGTGGGATCTCTGCCGCCTCCTGTGGTTCGACTTTCTTTTTGAAGAAATCCGACACACAGAAAACCTGTAGGGCATGAGAGGAGGTGATATGATTGAGGTTTACAGTCACGGTGGCAGAGTCTGAAATGTCAGTGTTTAGTGCTTATACTGTACAACAGAAAATATAAGTCACTCAAACCCCTACTTATTTCTTCTGTGAAACGCAATTAAATGTGTATTAAAAGGGACTGGAGCTGACAAAAAAAAGTTCCAGAAATTTAAGTTGCCAATTTTTTTAATATTTTGATCTTTTGTTTAAATAACATTTTTGAGAGTTTAGCTGAAGAATTTCAAACTGATGCAATTATTTTTAGTTCTAAATGTAAGCACTCTAGACATTGTTCAATTCTATTCAGTGCTGTTAACTAAAACTATTAAAATTGTTTTTAATTTAAATAATAAAGCTAAAATATAAATTAAATGAAAGTTGTTTTTTTTTAAACTTGCGTTGAAATACCAATGACTGAAACTGAAATAAAAAATGGAAATATTCATAAAAACATAAAAATTAAATAAATTGTAAGCTAATATAAACTATTAATGAATACCAGAATTATTTTAGTATTATTGATATACTATTAGTAAAACTATTTTAAATTAGTTTCCATTTTTATATTTTAGTTTTTATCTTACAATTATATAATTAAATTGTGTGTGTTTAAATGCCTGTCTATATTTATATAGATAGTTCTTGTTACTTTCATTTCAATTTTAGTTTTTTAGTACTTCAAGTTAATCTTAAAGAAAATGGGAAAACATTAACTGAAATAACTTAAAAAATATTTTAATTTTAAAGATAACCCTGATGTACACTATAGTATTTAAAAAAATAAAAAAATACTAAAATAATACTGATTCTATTATTCCATAAACATCAGACAGTCATATGGGTTTGGAGTGACACAAGGAAGTAATGACAAGTAAAGCATGTTTGCACCGCAGGAACATTCCCCAGGATCTAGGGACTTTGGGCCGGTACTCTGTGTGTTTCCACCGCAGGAACCAGATTCTAAATAGAGTTCCGGGTAAAAATTTGCCCCTCAGAAAGTCTCTGCTCGAGAGGTAGTACTTTTTTAAAGGTCCGGAACTTTCGGGTGCGGGACTTGGGCGCTGAACACGCTGATTGGTTCACGTAGCATTGTATTTCAACCACCATATATTCGCATAATTTTCTAAATATTATATAGACATTTTAAAAAAATAAAAAAATACTAAAATAATACTGATTCTATTATTCCATAAACATCAGACAGTCATATGGGTTTGGAGTGACACAAGGAAGTAATGACAAGTAAAGCATGTTTGCACCGCAGGAACATTCCCCAGGATCTAGGGACTTTGGGCCGGTACTCTGTGTGTTTCCACCGCAGGAACCAGATTCTAAATAGAGTTCCGGGTAAAAATTTGCCCCTCAGAAAGTCTCTGCTCGAGAGGTAGTACTTTTTTAAAGGTCCGGAACTTTCGGGGGCGGGACTTGGGCGCTGAACACGCTGATTGGTTCACGCAGCATTGTATTTCAACCACCATATATTCACATAATTTTCTAAATATTAATGTTATTGTGTCATGAATAGTTTTAAGAGTATTTCAGGTGAGAATGTAGTTGTTTAAACCTCAAATCTGCAGTTTATTTATAAAGACCGCCTATTTGAAAATGTGCTTCGCCGGTTTCGGAGACACATTTCTGCGGCTATATGTTTAATATGTTAAAATGAAAACGAAAAGAGCCAGTGGTGTTTGATATCATATTTTGTCTTATTGTAAATACAGTGAAGAAAATTGCAGTAGGCAAGGCGAGCTTACTGACGTTATCAAGTACGCCGCTGTTCGCAGAATTACTGGACTTGCGTCGTCCCATCCGCGGGAGTTCACACTCCCGAGTCGAACTCGCAAAGTACGAACTACGGAGGACGCAAGTCTGAAATTTGCATACTTGGTATTAGGGCTGTCAAAATGGCTGAAAAAATTTATTTGAATTTTTCACTTAAATATTATCAAAATTCAAATTATATTCTAATTTAAAATGCATAATTTCAGTTAGGGTGACTGAATAAGGCTGATAAGGCACCACTGATAAGGCTGCCGCCTCAACGCACACCTAAAATTCGAATGCAACATTTTTGCATTCGAATGTGGATTTTTATTTTAAATTCGACGAATATTCGAAATTCACATTTTTTTTTTAACAGCCCTACTTGGTATCGAGAAACGTCCCTGGACTGGGAGGAGCAGTCCAGCACAGTCCTACGTCACCAGACTATTTGCCTAATCTTCACGGTACTTTAGACCGCGATGAAAAAGCAGACAGTAACAGGTCTGCAGGGAAGCAAGTTCCTGGGACATTGTTCCAGGTAATTTCGGTGGAAAAGCGACTTTTATTTTTGGGTGAACTTCCTTTAAATGAGCAGAATTCACACTGACTTCCTGCAAGCAGAAATCACCTGTGTGTTGTTTATCGTGTCACTCACCACTAGTAAAGCCACGATGGCTCCTTGTATGAGTCCTGCGAGTACATCACTCCAGTGGTGTTTGTAGTCTGAGACACGGGACAGTCCCGTATAGACGGAGGCAGCGATCAGGAAGAACTGGAGCGTTGGGCGAAGGAGCCGTGCCCATTCGGCTTGCATTCTTGCTTGAAGATAAAGCTATGAGAAAGGAAAAGACTGTTCAAACTCATTGTTTGTGAGAGAGGTTTAACTTGTACAGCATGTGACTTCGCTGATCCTCACGTGACGACCTCACTAACACACGGTCATGTTGTGTTTTCGTGTTACTACAGATCCCATGCTACCTGATTCTTCCTCGGTTTACGACGTGGCTTTTTTTCATGTTATCTCCTGCCCGAGGGAATGTACCAGACTTCCTTTCACAGGAACCAACTGAAGTTAATTTAGTCGACACTACACTGGGCCTCTGAGAAATGTGAATTATGCTTAAATATTAATCATTATGCTATCACCTTACAGGTCTTGTTGTCAAAATCATTACTCATTTAAAGGTTTGAAGGAGTGATCGGAGTAGAACGATAGTTTCCAACAAGTGGGCAAAACAAGGTCTGTTTAACTTCCACTACATGTAGACGTGTGCTTGTGCAACAGTATGAAACCCTAAAATCAAAGCTGACATTTGTTTGGAAACTGTAAACACAAACAAAGAATTACTTTGACAAGCTGATGGGAAGAAATCCTAACACTCAACCCCACGCTGGGCAAAGATTCCCAGAAATCATTGGGAGTCCCTAAAAATACCCCCTCCAAAAAGTGCACACAAACTCAAGAATAATTTCTAGGTTATATTTCTGGTTAATGCTTGTAATCTTATCTGAATTTAAACAGTCTATTTCAGGATTAAGAGTCAAATACTTTTGATAGGGAAGCAGTTTAAAAAAATAATTCAATGTTGTCTTTGAGTTTCACTGAACATTGACCCCAGGTCTGATGTGTTTATTTCAGGGTTCAAATGTGCTGTGAACTTTAGCCGCATGTCCTTAAAGCTTGTACTCTCATGATAAGATTATGGTAGGTTGTGTTTGCTAACAAAGCTGTAATGGAGAAGTTCAGCGGAATGAACTCCTTAAGATTACTCCGCTGAATCAATATAGCCCAGCCTGACAGATAATGGGTATTTTCCAATGGAAAAATCAATGAAGTAAAACGTATAAATCTACAAACATTTATCCCATTTCCTAGTCACTCAGTAACAATGATGGTATTTAATGGACCAGTTTGGGTCTGGTTTGTTATTGGGTTATGTAATGCTGATTGTAGTTAAATTATTACCTGATTAACTAAGAACATCAGTACTTCATTCAGTGTGAAAATACCTTTATACACTTAGGAACAAACTTTGAATGAAAAGGATAGTTTGCCTAAAAATAAAAAATGTTATTTATTCACCCTCATGTCCTTCCAAAACTACTTTTTTTTTCTACTGTATAACCGAAGAATCAATTCTTCAAAACATCAACTGTTTGTTCATAAAAGTCAATAGGGTCCAAACCAGCATTGGTCTTCTTCGTCACACAGCATATTCTGAGAGTGCCTGAGGATAAAACTGAACGAAAGGGCAACACGGACTCAAAGAACTGAAGACCTGCTTCAGATTTTTTAATAATTTATACCTAGATCTGGATAACTCTCACCCTTTTAACATGCAAATACACTTGCTTGCCTATCAAGAAGACAAAATTTTCCCGAGGAGAACACTCTCGTGTGAAAGGTGATTGGGTTATTCTGGGCTCAGACCCTCTACTGCTCTTTATTTGCTCTATAAATGGCATCGTCTCCTAGGCAAACACTGGACCACCACAAAAGAGGTGCTCTTCTGAGAGAGAGAGAGAGAGAGAGAGAGAGAGAGAGAGAGAGATGGGAACCACACCTATGTTAAATGAGAGCATTCTGAGAGGGCCTGGGATACTGCTGGCCTTGAGTCTGGCCCAAGAACCCAAACAGAAAGCTTGCGTGCTCTGAAACGGCTAACCGCAGGATTAGAGACCACTACAGCGTGTGAACCACAGATTTTCACCAAGAGCTTGGGTGGCCAACAATGTGGACAACTGACCCCAAAAAGAGTTCATGGTAAAGACATTGGAAACACCCTTCATTTCAATGTTAATGAGGGAGTTTTTTCTCAGTGCAATGCCAGATATAAAGTACTCATGGCACATATGAACTGGTTCTGCTAATTGGACACCTTCGTGTAAATCCTTAGAACTACATCTAATTCCTTGTCAGACCCATCTATCTGAAAAGGTTCAGAGGAAAAGTTATTTTGAGGGACAAGCTTGTCTAATAAGGAATGCAGATGCAGGCTAGAGTGGCTGGGAAGTTTCCAGGATGGAACCACATCAAAGAACAAATTTGAGGGATTCCTAATTCCACCCCAAGGAAAAAACCTTTCTTGCAACTCTTCCATCCAGAGCAGGACACCCATTAGTGCAGGGGTGTCCAATTCTGCTCCTTGAGCACCTGCAACATTTGACGCCACACCTACCTAGAAGTTTTGAGTGACCCTGAAGACCTTGATTTAGGGCTAGAGCTAAACTCTGCAGGACAGTTGGTTCTTCAGGTGTAAAATTGGATCCTGCAACCTTCCTGTAGAGTTTATTTCCTAAACACACCTGAACCAACTAAACAAGGTCTTCAGGATGACTAGAAACTTCCAGGCAGGTGTTTTGGAAGTGATCCCCAGGAGCACCCCACGTTAAAGGGATAGTTCACTCAAAAATCAAAATTCTGTCATTAATTACTCACCCTCATGTTGTTCCAAATGCGCAAGACCTTTGTTCATCTTCAGAACACAAATTAAGATATTTTTGATGAAATCTGAGAGCTTTCTGACCCTGCATACACAGCAACGCAACTACCACATTCAAGGTCCAGAGAGGTAGTAAGGACATCATTAAAATAGTTATTTTATATGTCATATGACGACAGTGGTTCAACAGTAATTTTATGAAGCTATGAGAATACTTTTTGTGCACCAAGAATACAAAAACGGCTTTATTCATCGATTTCTTCTCTTGTAGATTCATAAAATTACTGTTGAACCATTGGACTATTTTAACGATGTCCTTACAGCGTTTCTGGGACTTGAACGTGTTAAAGCTCCCGGATTTCATCAAAAATATCTTAATTTGTGTTACGAAGATGAACGAAGGTCTTACAGGTTTGGAACGACATGAGGGTGAGTAATTAATGACAGAATTTTCATTTTTGTGTGAACTACCGCTGTAAGGTAACGAGTAACTACTAGTGACCTATAAGGGAGTGTTACCAAAGTCCCTTTAAGGCAAGTCATGTCACTCGGCGGCCATCTTTGAAATGCCTCTCAGGCATGCAAGTGCAGCTCCTATCTCTTTGAATGGGGAAACATCAAATTCTCCAAAACTGTTCGCCAAACTTACGATTACATTTCATATTTGAAATCACCAATGAAATCTGACAACAACTGTATCATAAATGTTGTTTATTTTGCTCAAATAGTGGAACTTCTCCAACGGCTTTACCGGTTAGCGATTGGCTCTTTCATTCAGAAGGCGGGGCTTCCTGCGATATAGTGCCCATATTAAGCGTTGCATTTGTCCCCATTCAAAACTATACAAGTGACACGTCTTGGGTATTCTAAAGTCTTTGGTGTTACCTACCTTCCCTCATTGACCTTGGTTGAATCCCCATTGCAGACGAAGTCCTCAATGTAAGCCCCTCCTGTGCAGTTGATCTGCATCCAGTCCGGTCTGCACACATCCAGGAAGTGTGGCCTCAGCCGGCCGATGGAATACTTGGCAATGTCAGTGAGTGATTGGCTCATGGCGGCACCAAACAAGAAGGTGCCAATGGCCTTATAGATACAGGCCACATAACTGTTGCAGAAAGACTTTGATTTGACGCAGTTTAGATAGACTGAAAGGCACTCCCCTATGATCATCTGTGATGGAAGAGGAAGCAAAAAAACATTACTTGTCTTTATTCTGATGAGATGGTCAAAACATTTGCTACAGCCAGTCATGTTTTGATGATAATATTTTAGGATTGTTTCTGAATCTTATAAGGATGTCCACACGTACGAGAATAGAAGACAAGATCAAATAGTAGAAGCACTTGACAATGCAGCCATCACAAGGATTTCCCTGAAATGTCCTTAACATCACAGTTACCCATGTTTGTATTACAAGCCATGTTTTACTTGAGTTTTTTGTTGCTGTTGTCCTTCTCAAGACCAGTACAACATACTGAATGGACTGTACTTCCATCGCAAATGTCATAATATGGTGTCTACAATGACTACAATCTAGTGACTGCAATACTGTATTACCCTCTTGCTCAATGATCAGGTATAGAGCTTGGGTAATGTATATTAAGTTGATACAATTCTGTTTACTTTTGCTTTACTAAAATATCCAGGTCGAAATGCATGAAATGCTGCAGTTTTAAAATATACATTAGCAGTAACCTAAATCAAATGTTTTAATAACATTTAGGCAGAGGTATATGTGCTTTGAGCTCACATGGGTGACTGTGAGGTTATATAGATGTGTATGTCTGTGTGTGTGTATATATATATATACAGTATATATATATAAACCCTGATTGTCCTCATAATCCAGGGTTAGTAACGTGTGTGTGCATATATATGAATGAAGTCCAGTTAAACCCTGATTGTCAAATGTTATACATAATGGGTATGCTCATTTTAAACAAACTGATGTTTCTAATACCCTTGAAAGGACATTGCTGAATTGTATATGCTATCACACAAGATAAAAAAGCATTAAAGAAACAGTTATGAGATGTAACCACAGAGAGAGACTCCTACTCTAAACGTCTCACCACAAGACTGTCTGTGGTATATGGGCTTTCATGGGAAAATATATGGGTAAAAGACCAGTAGACATCCTTTCCACTCCATTTGTTGCCTTGTCTCTTAAACCTGTAAAGGTCTGTTACAAGAGTTAACTGCTGTTCAAATCTTTTTTTTAGTGTACGAGTAATTTTTAAGGAATTGTTCACCTAAAAAAAAACATTTACATTTTAACTTGCATGTCATTTCATAGCATTTGACTTCTTTTCTTCCTCGTTTTCTAAGGAACACAAGTGGAGAAATTTTCAAGAATGTTAATGCTCATCTTTTCCAACACTAAAAGCACAGAAACTGGCAAGATACAAAAATTTCCATAGAAGTAGTCATTATGACTCTGTATTCCAAGATTTCAATAGGCGCTCTATCCCTTTAAGCATCTATCTACCGTATCTCCTTTGAACTGTGGTTAGATCTCAAAGTCCTGTTTCTCAAGCTGGCATGAGAACAGACGTACTGACCAGAGAAGCATGCAACAAACATTATAGGCATAGTGAGAAGAGGAGAGAGATACAGGAAGGGGTGTGAGCTGCTAGTGTAACAAACAGACCGGCACTTACAGTAAGCACAGTGATAGGAATCATTACTCCTCCTAGTAACTGATAGGAAATGGTGTCTTCTTTATATGGGTAGTTGATAGAGTCATCGTTACAGAAAAATCCTCGTTTGAATGATTTGTGTTGTATTGTGAGTATTGCAAATGGGAGTCCAACTAGCAAAAAAGCAGTGAGAGAGAAGAAAAGAAAAAAAAAAACAGAGGTTAACGTAGTGCCTCATACCCTATTCTCCCCAATTCAAGCAAAGGTTGTTCTCCTCTGGGAGGTGCTCGTACGAAAAGCTGCGAGTTAGTTTTCTACTTTTAACACATAATGAACAAAGGGTTAGCAAGTAGGTGGTGTGGCAGCCGGGGCTGAATTTTGCTAAAAGTTGCACTTTGTCTTTGAGTAATGTAGGATATTCTTTTTAAAGTGTGTTTTATTGCTTTGTTTTCATTCTCCAGCGGTTTCGAGGTAGACATGGGAAGTGGAACGTGTCAAATAAAGCTCAAATGATTCAACAGCACGCTAACGATGCCGAGTAGATCTCGTCTGAACATTTACATATCGCAGAGGGTGCGAAATCCTCATTTTTCTCTTTGTCTTTCAAGCCCTGTTCACAACTGACAGCAATGTTATGCTGATACGGTTTTCCATAACTTTTTCCATCCGGTTTTGCGTCATTTTATTATATCACTGTATCATATAGAACACTAAACACTCACAGTAACATCAACTTTTCAGGAAACTCTACTATCTCCCATTGCTAGTCGCCACATTTGCTGAACACTTTGGTCAGTGTGAACAAGGCTTTAGAGCAGTGATGGGCAAACTTGGCCCTTCCAGGCCACTTTCCTGCAGAGATTTGATCCAACCCTGATAAAACTCACCTGCCTGTAGCCTTCTAGTAGTCTTGAAGACAATGATTAGCTGGTTCAGGTGTGTTTGATTAGGGTTGGAGCTAAACTCTGAAGGAAAGTGGCCTGGAAGGGCCAAGTTTGCCCACCCCTGCTTTAGAGGTTCTTAAAAAAATGCATTTTCCATGTTTTTTTCACACCATTATGTTATAAAAGAGCTCTTAAATGCTGCTCCACCACAGATAGAGACATTGAAGTGGCAACATAAACATCAAAAAGGTGCAAGAAGGGTAACTGTGGTTAGACACCACCAGTAAAAACTTTACAAGCCTGTTGGGGACATGAAGGTTACTCAAGCGTGGAAGCAAAGCATGTGGTAGGGATTAAGACATTTACCCAACATGCAGTGAATATGGTCTGCGGAGATGTTTGTGTGCGTGTAAAATCCATGAACCACTCAATCGGCTAAGAGCTGATATCAGTCATGTGGATCAGTGCAGGTTACCCAACGCCAACCGAAGTCTCCTAAAATGACACCGTATCTTCTCTCGATCTCCGGTGAAAGCTGCATTGTCATGGTCTGTGATGTGCTGGCTGCACGTATGGGATTTCAGAGTCATTAGGAACATCGGTGTAACGTTAACGCCGCACAGATCGGTCATTTCGATCATCACTTGCATGCTGCCTGGACTGGCTTGGCAGGCAAGTGGAAGCTAAGGGTTGCTTACATAGAGGTCAACCCCAAATCTTGCAATATGGTAAGTTTGAGGTTTTCTCAAGCCTGTGGGTTATGAGATAGAAGTCAAACAGGGTTATTCATGGAACGGATTGCTGAAACTTTTGGAGATGTTTTAGAGGAAAAAGTATGCCATCTGTGGTGCTCCAGAAGATATCAACTACCCACTCTTATCACATTCCAGACGGATCGCAATATCCTAGATACGTCTTCCATCAGGTCTAGATTTCATTTTTTTTTTTTTTAACTTAAAACAGTTTTGATACAAATATTTATGTAGTTAACTATGAAGTAAGCATGGCACTTGAACATGGGTACTTGAGATGTGACCAAACGGTGACCCTTCCTAAACATATTCAGGAAGTTTCTGTGGTTTGGTTGGTAAACCCAAGAACCCTCTCTTGATGTAAACCACAAACTTTGCCCAATTTGCAGTTGCTTCTTAAAAAAAGCAGCAGGAGCAGATTGAAGGAGGGTGCGTTTAAATACATTCCCAGCCCAAAATACCTCAAATCTGAGCTAATCTAAAACAGCTACTTTAAGGCTATTTCTTGTACTTGGTGGACATCCTTGGCTAAGAAGTTAATGAAAAGCAACATGCCCAGAGTATCCCTATACACAAAGGAGCAAAAACATTGCTTGAATGCAAATGAGCTGTCGAAATGTTTCTATCCCAACACTGCGTCACCAAACACAAGTAGTGCATCAGAATATGCAACAATGGAAGTGTCTTTTGTCACACCTTCAGCTGAAAGACGGTTTCTATTTTTGACGTGCCACAGACTTCTGATCAAGACAGCTTGATCTTTAGTTTCTGGCCTGTCATCCTTTGTTTTTAAAGGGGTCATATGATGCTGCTAAAAATAACATTATTTTGTGTATTTGGTGTAATGAAATGTGTTTATGCGGTTTAAAGTAAAAAAAACATTATTTTCCACATACTGTACATTATTGTTTCTCCTCTATGCCCCGCCTTTTTGAAACGCGTCGATTTTTACAAAAATACCTCAAGCGTGTGACAGAAATGTTACGCCCCTCGCCATACTGTTGATGCCGTGTCCCGGCCGGAGCGACGAAACAAAAAACATGAAAACCCGTTACAAACTAGGCATTTGTTGCATCCAGTGGGGACATAATTGTAAATACAACTTAACCACTGATTTGTAGTCGTGTCCTCTTTTGGAAAACCAAACAAAGTAGTTTCGCTTTCACAAGGAAATACACGGCGGCCTAGCGTGAGCTGAGGTGCGGGCTAGAGTGAGCAGAGACGCGGGCTAGAGTGAGCAGAGGCGCGGGCTTGAGAACGGCGCGGCCGGCGGATTCGACGAAGGAGCAGCAACCACATGTGACGACCCCGGGCTGGACTCCGCTTCGTCCACGGTGAAAGCCGATCCGGCGATCCA